AGCTTTCGCTTTGATATGCTGCTCAATTGAGAAATAGAGATCAGAATTCTATAAATTCAACTCATGTAGCGAGTTTTGTAGAGGTATACCAAAATGGGACCGGCCAAGAAGTACGTACGGTCACTACTCGACACCCCTGTTGACACCTTGAGTAAGGCCACTGTTGCTCATTGCGTCTCAGCAATTGACGGACAGTGGGTGTTAAGTTGTCTTTTTAACGGTTAGTTAAAAACACTATGCAACGAAACATTAGTCTTTGTACTTCAAAACTGCTGTCAAAACACAATAGAAATTTTGGGAGCCATCCAAGTACCCGCGACTTAGCCGAATCGCGACTTACCGAGGCGCGACTTAGCGAGGGGACACTGTATTTTTCATAAAGAGTTAATGCTCTATGTTCAGTGACCCAAATTTGCGTAATATATATATTATTATGCATCTGTCGTTATCAAATGGGATACCTGTATTACAAAATGTACATTTCAAATATTTATATGTCAACGATGGTGGACGTGTTTCAAAACAAAGTGTGAAAAGTTTCTTGTGTACTTTGCCAGTATCGTATTAAACCCATATTAAAATATTATAGAAATATCTACCAGTCTGTGGCCTTGAAAACAAATTGTATATATGTTACTGACTACATACTGGTACTTCATAATTCCCATATTATTGACATCTGATCATGCTAAGTATTTGGTATTTCTGTTCAACGCATTGAAAGAATCTCATGTTACCAAATTCTCTATATGTGTACATTTTCATTTCTGTGGAAAACTGTCTTGAGTAATATTTTGTTATTCACAGATGTTAACTGGAGATCTTTTGAAGGTGAGACAGCATTATTTTTTGCTGCTAAGGGGGGTTATCTTGATGCTGTGCATCTTCTTCTCAAAGCTGATATAGATCCTAATATTGGAAACAATGAGGAAGCCACACCTCTTCTAAAAGGTAGGAATTGGTAGATACTTAATTCATGTGTTTTCATAATTGGTGTAAATAAAGAGTGTACCTGGGAACATTTCATTGTGAATAAGCAATCTCGATTACACAAATGCACCACTGGAAGGTACATGAAATCAATGTACCATCTTATTATTTATTTAATCACTTAAGTTTCATTGGAATAGATGATGGATACAATTAATGCACACAAAATAAACAACGAAAAGTGACATGATAAAGCAAAAACACACAGAAAAAACGATCAGATAGAGGACACTGTTTGGTACATGAAATCAATGTAACATCAGATAGAGGACACTGTATGGTACATGAAATCAATGTACCATCAGATAGAAAACACTGTATGGTACATGAAATCAATGTACCATCAGATAGAAAACACTGTATGGTACATGAAATCAATGTACCATCAGATAGAAGACACTGTATGGTACATGAAATCAATGTACCATCAGATAGAAGACACTATATGGTACATGAAATCAATGTACCATCAGATAGGAAACACTGTATGGTACATGAAATCAATGTACCATCAGATAGAAAACACTGTATGGTACATGAAATCAATGTACCATCAGATAGAGGACACTGTATGGTACATGAAATCAATGTACCATCAGATAGGAAACACTGTAGGGTACATGAAATCAATGTACCATCAGATA